TCTTCTTTTAAAGGATTACAGCACATGTTTGTTTCATAATTTAAAACTAGTGTTATTTTGAGGTTTATTTAGAAAGTTATAATAGGAAAAGTGTTCAGTAGACAGCTTACATACTGATTACAATATTACGAGTTGAATGAGTTGATCACTTTGTAAGTAGTGATTTCTTCAAGAAGGCTTCAACGAAAATGTTTATCATGAAACGCTGAAGTAGTTCCCTTCTATATAATTATATGTGAGATGGAACTATTTAGAGCTCGTTGAATTGAGCTTTGATCGAGTACGTGTGCGCGTTTCTCAGTACACAATGACGATAAATATTATGCAGTGATCCTATTGATTGTGCGTTAAGGGTGGGAAGGAAGATAACTGTTTTAGTTGCTTTTACTCAGCGTAGGTTTCATACCAAATCTAGCTTTTATTACACAAACTAATCATTTACAATTTTATTAAAAAACTCATCTTTACTTTAGTCGATAAATAAGGCGTATTGTAGATTTTGTACCTTCAGAAAGGACGGTCAAACTCTTTGATCCCATCGCGGTGGACGCCTCCGAAACACTTGAAGATGCTATGTACACATCAGAGGCGGCGGAGCGACTTCCAAAGGGGGAGGGGCACCAACAAAAGAGGGCACTTTCTGGGGAAAAAAGGGCACCTTTAAAGGGAAATCTCAAAGGGGAAATATACAAATGTTTAGACATTGGTATATACACCTGTATCGTGATTGCATTATCGGGGATAATTTCAATATTTTTTTTGTATTTATATATCATATAACATTTGGCTTAAGTATCATCTTTGCAGTTAAGTGTGATGGTCTAAAAATACATATGCAAGCGAGCAAAGCGAGCGAGAATTTTTGTTAAAGATTTGTGAGGTCGCAGTGCAAAAAAATACATCTTATAAAGAGGAATGACCCTATCATGATTGGGATATATAAGCACATTCTCATAACGGAAGACTGAAAAGATCTTTGATAAGTTACATAATTATAACATCTATAACTACGAGCGAGCGTAGCGACCGAGCTTTGGGGAAAACTGCTTTTAGTCGCTTGAAATTAGGGGCACGTTAGATGATGAGAGGAAAAGGACAGTTATAAGAAAAGAAAAGGAGCACGTGTCAGAGTACAAAGGCTAATTATCAGAGGTGAAATGGGGCACTTCTTACACCTAAAAAAGAGGCACGCACCAGGGATGGAAAGGAAATGGGCATTAGTCGATGGAAAAGAGGCGCCCATTAGTTTGTGATAGGGGGCATTTATCAAAGTGAAAAGAGGCATTTATGAAAAAGGGATAGGGTCTTTATTGAAAAGAAATTGGGCACATATCATTGTTAAAAGGTAATGAGAAGGGGAAGTGGCTCTTATTTAAAGGAATAAGAGGCACATATTGAAATAAACGGAGCACTTTCAAAGACAAAAAGGGGTAATTATGAGAAGGAGAAGGGACACTTATAAGAAAAAAAGAGAGCATGTATTAGGAAAGAATAGGGGGACGTGTCAAAATAAAAGGGTCATTTATAAGAGATGAAAACGGCACTTATCAGGAGGGGAAGGGGTACTTGTCAAAGTAAAACAAGTATCTCTCAGAATTGAATAGGGTCATTTACAAGGGATGAAAAGGGGCATTTATGAGAAGGGAAAAGGGCTCTTCTTGAAATGGGGGCACTTATCATAAGCAACAGGGGCACTTATTTAAAAGGGAAATGGGGCACATGTTAAAATATAGGGTGCGCTTATCCAAGTTAAAAGGGGGAAGGGGCACTTTGTTACAAAGGAAAGGGGGCATTTGTCAAAGCAAAAAAAGAGAACCTCTCAGATTTGAATAGGGAAATTATCAGATGTGAAGGGGGCCCTTATCAAAAGTGAAAACGGGGCGCTTCTCGTATCTAAAAAGTGGAACTCACTAGAGATTAAAAAAGGCACTTATGAGAATGGAAAATGGACACTTATTGTAAAGGAAAATGGGAACTTTTCAAAGAAACGGGAGTATGTGTCAACAAAAGGGGCACTTATCAGAGGTGGAAAGGGGAAGGGGCACTTTTCAAAATAAAAGGGGGACTTTTTCTCTGTAAAAGATGGGCACTTGTCAAAGTAAAAGGGGCACTTTTACCTATGCAAAAAGGGGCACTTTTAGGGTACTTGAAAAAGTGGGAGTGCACTGTGCCCCATGCCCCCCCCCCCCCCCGGAGCGCCACCTCTGGTACACATAAACAAAAGGTGAAAATTACCATCTGATCCATATGGTCTAAAATCATTACGTCCAACATCATTAATTTGTCTAAGCGTCATGGCACTTTAACCAACAAAAACAACTCTTACTACGTCTTTTCTCTATCTTTTTGTGTGTGTGGTGCATGTGCTAGTTTGGCTGCGCCCATCTGATTATTATCCTATATAGATACACATTGAACAATCTAAATGATAATCAACAACAAGGTTACGCCATAGCGTACGGAGAGAGATAATTGTGACACGCGCAAACGGACTCGATCAAAGCTCAATACATGAAGCTCAAAATAGTTTACTCCCACATACGATAACATAGGCGCCAGAAGAGGGGGGGGGGGCAAAACCTCCAAAAGCAACAAAAAAAGGAATAAAGATGTGTGTATTTTTAAGCCAAAAGAACATAACAATAATAAAAAAAAAAAACGAATCAAATCACATATAAAATTATATTCAAAGAAAAGAAAAATTAACAGCAATTACATTTGCGAAACATTCCGCATGCCACCTAAATTTATCAATAGAGGTTTTTAAAATAGCGATACGCGCACATCGTGGAAATACTGTGAGAGGATGGGAAAGCGTGTGTGTTTTGGGGGAATTTTTGTTTTGGGTGTATTTTTTTTTTTTTTTTTTTTTTTTTTTTTTTTGGGGGGGGGGGGGGGGTGAGAAGACATGAGCCCCTGAACGCTCGCGTACTGATGGGGGGGGGGGGGGGGGTGGGGGTATTTCTTATTCGATACCAGTGATTTAAAAATGTTGCTGAAATGACATTATTTTCCAGTATTTTTTTCTCATTTTTTTGTAAGTCATTATACAAATGATGCACAGGTTTGAGTGCGTCGGTGAGGATTGTGTGCACAAGATACCTTTGAATGGTTTGAACCCACGAGGCGCAGCCGAGTGGGTTTTAGACCAAATTCAAAGGTACCGCGTGCACACAATTCCACCGACCCACGAATTAAACCTGTGCATCATCTGTTTTATAAGATGGGGTCCCAAAAATTGTCAAAAATAAAAAAAATTGTTATTTTACAAATTTACCGGATGCATGGCAGAATCATGCGTCCGGTAATTTTTTATCACCGGACGCATAATTTTTTTTACCGCACGCATATTTTTTTTTACCGGACGCATGATTTTTAACTTATCATGAAATTAAAAAAAAAATTAAAAAAAAAAAAATTGTCAGTGCACATTAAACTGTAAACTAAACTAAAAAAAATAAAAAATTATAGAATTTTTTTTTTTTTTAAACAGATCATAATTATCAAAAAACACGAAAAACAAATAATTATCACCAAAAAAAAATTATCAAAAAAATCATTAAAAAAAAAAAATTATATAAAAAAAAAAAATATTAAAAAAGAAAAAAAAAGAGAGAATTATTTTTTTAAAAAAGGATATCGGTGGTATAGATCGCCGATATCGCGTGCATCCAGTAAAAATAATTACATGGTAATTGACCAATCAGATTGCAGGGATTCTTCTACCCATCTTATAAACCTTTTAATGCGTTTGTTGGAAAACTATAAATTCCCAAATTTACAGTCGGGCGAAAAATGTGCTTATTTGGATACCTTCATGTCAGGGCCTGTAGAACGGCTGGGCTCAGGTGATCGAGCCCCCCTCACTTTTTGCAAAAGTATGTTACACAGAAAAAGAAAAAATAAGTGACCTGCCAATGTCACAAACGAGGTATTAAAATACGCTCATCTGACCGTAATTAAATGCCTAAAACCCCTAGCTTACATGGATGCTCATTTGATCGTAGTTATACCTAAAAAAAAACGAGCTTCCGGGGTCTCCGCCCCCTGGATGCTCATCTAACCGTAATTAAATACCTAAAACTCCTGAGCTTCCGGGGGCTCTGCCCCCTGGACCCAACCAACAGCCCTAAGACAGACCCCTGGTTGCTCATCTGACCGTAGTTAAATATCTAAAACCTCTGAGCTTCAGGGGGCTCTGACCCCTGGACCACATTGATGGCTTTAAAGAGGGCCCCTGGATGCTCATCTAACCGTAATTAAATACCAAAGACCCCTGAGCTTCCGGGGACTCTGCCCCCTGGACTCCCCGCCAATTAGTGACCCACCAGTGTCACAAATAAGCTTATCTAAATATTAACTTATCTGAACGTAATTCAATGCCTAAATACCCTGCGCTTCCGGAGGCTCAGCCCCTTGGCCCCTGCCGAGTATCAGGCCCTGGACCCCACGCCAATTTACGCTCTACCTGATCGTTAATACTCCACTTTGAAAAACGTTCTGCCGGGCCTGCATGTAACGTGTAAGAGTGGTGGTGATGCAGATTTGTATTCTGCCCCCCCCCCTCCCTCGTAACGTTTTTGCTCATTACGCCACTGCCCCTGGAAGATGAACCCCCTGGAATGTTTGCCCCCCCCGGTCCTAAACTGCTTCTGGCGCGCCTGTACGGTAATATGAAAGGGAACTACTTCAGAGTTCCATGACTTGAACGTTGAGTGCGCACGCGTATGCGTGTCACAACTTTCTCGCTCAATACGCTATGGCGATTACTATTGTGCACTGCTCATATTGATTTCGCTTTAATTTTTGGGACAAAAATAACAAAACTTTTTGTTTAAATTACTCAGCGTAAAATTCATTCTAAATCTAGACATTAACTGCAAAAATTATACATTCACAGTTTTAATAAAATGTCTTGTTTCCCTTCATATATCTTGTCATTTATAATCTCGTGTTTGTAAAACTATATTTAGGCGTATTACAGATTTTGTACTTTGTCATCAGTAACGACGTTCAAACTCATTGAAGCCATCGCGGTGGACGCCTCTGAAACACTTGCAGACCCTACTTACATAAAAAAAAAAGGTGTAAATTACCATTTGGTCCAATTTTCATAGGGTCTAAAATCATTTCATGCAACAACTGTTTTTCCATCACCTATTTAGTCAAATAATCATTCATTTTGTCTAAGCGTAATGGGCTTTAAACATAAAAAACAACCCTAATCACGTTTACATTTATTTTGTTCTCTCTCTTTTTATCGTGTTTGGCGCATTTGCTAGTATGAGCAACTTATTTGACTGCCACCCCCCCCTCCCCCGGATTAGTCTCTAAGTCCAATATCCATTAGGTCCAATACTTTCAAATAGCAATATATTTTGTAATAAATGCACATTGAACAATCCAAATCTTCAACAGAGTTTGTGATTAAGTTTAAATTCGGGGATGTAAAGTGTCACTCGGATCAGGGCTGTGTTTCATAAAACCTTTTATCAATAACAAGCTACAATAGCTGTCATAAGCTCAACAAAATTGGCACTTAATTAGATGAGAGCACAATTGCCATATAATTTGTTATTGATAACAAGTTTTATGAAACAGGACCAATAATTTATTGTAAGAACATGCTACTATTTCGCATGACCTACTCCTTCTATCCCCAAAGTTAATCCGAAGATAATGAGAAAATACTGCGGACCTATATATAAACCTTTAAGTTCCTTCTTGGTTTAAAAAAAATAAATCCAAGACTAATCGGTCATTTAGACATAGACCTAAACGTAATGGGTAAAACTGGTAATTAGACCAATCGGCAAATACACAAAATTCAAAATTTGGCCTAATAATGTTTAGACCAAATGATGACTGAACCATATGGTTATGAAAAGGAATGGGATTGGACGTAATTAAAATAGAGATAATGAAATAATAAACAAACGGGAATATAATGCTTGGACTAAATAGGAACTGGTCTAATTGGGTTTATATTAGACAAAATGCAATTGGACCAAAAGGCAAAAAAAAAAAAAAACATAGATTGGACGAAGCGGCCATTTTACCAATTTGTTACAGACAAGTGGCTATTGGCCCTATCGGTCAATAATTGACTAGCATGATGATTGACCATGTATAGCGGGTTTATCGAATTTACCCATGTAGACTAAAATGAAGTTGGACAAGCTGGGTGTTGGACCAAGTGGCATGTGATCATACGGCAATACATAATTTATTTTGATTAAAAATAGTTCAGTTATAGGATCAGGAAAATTTGCTGAATATGGTTCTACAATCTTGGTAAGGCCGGGTAAAAAGTTCATCATTTAAAAAATTGAAGAAATGAAATTACATCGAATTTTATTATTTGGGGATTTGTCAACAAGCACCTTTGAAAAAAGTAAAGGATAACAACAAAAACATGAAAATAAAGTATTAAGATAGTTCTGTCTCAATAAATATATCGCTTTTTAAAGTGAAATAGTGATTACTGTTAAAATGCAAATCATACCTTCAGGTGGTACTTCTTTCCTCCGTTCTTGTTCACTCTGGAGATACTCAATTACATGCATATGACCACGGATTGATGCAATAATAAGTGCGGAGTTACAATTATTATCTTCCCGCTCTATCTGTGCTCCTTGACCAACGAGGTACTGAACTACATCAAGATGACCATTGACTGATGCAAAATGAAGAGGTGTCATACCATCCTTATTACCCCTCTCTAACTCTGCTCCTTGACCAACGAGGTACTGAACTAAACCAAGATGACCATTGATTGATGCAACATGAAGAGGTCTCATACCATCCTCCTCGCCCCTCTCTAACTCTGCTCCTTGACCAACGAGGTACTGAACTACATCGAGGTGACCATTCTCCGATGTACCAATAAGTGCTGTCGTACCATGAATATTGGTCGCCTCTCCATTTGCTCCTTGACTAAAGAGGTACTCAACTACATCAAGACGACCCTCACCTGCTGCAATAAGAAGTGGGGTGCAACCATTTGCATTAACCTTCTCTATCGGTGCTCCTTGACTGACAAGGTACCGAACTACATCGAGGTAACCCTGGCTTGATGCAGTGTGAAGTGGTGTATCACCATACGTAATATCACACGTGTCAATCTGTGCTCCAATACCAACGAGGTACTTAACTACATCAAGATGACCGCCAGCTGTTGCTAAAAGGAGAGCCGTCGCACCAAGACGTTCATTAGGCTTCTCAATCTGTGCTCCTTTACCAACGAAAAACTTAACTACATCAAGATGACCCTCTGAAGCTGCCGTACGAAAGGCTTTATCGACCTCAGCGCGCTCATTTGTTGCTCTGACAGCCATGTTTTGCTTTGGCTGTGGACCCAATTGTGAAGCAAATCTTATAGATATTTCTTCGTTCTAGACTTTATATGTCGTGTTTGTCAATTAAGTCACATTTGTGTTCTGTAAATCGTTCTTAGAAGAGACTGAATACGTCGATTAATTTATCCGCTCTACAGCCAGAGAGGAATATGTTTAAACTGTTCGAAGCCTACTAATGATTATGAATCGGAAACTAGGCAGGGGAATGATTCTAATTTGATAAAGTTATACTAACGAGCATAATTCCAATTGTATAATTAAAGAATCCGTCTCGGATAGTCCTGGTGGTGTTAGTGCAAGTGTCATAGTTCCAATTTATTTGTCTGATTTCCTTCATATAACCAACGTGCTCCGGTCCATCCAAATATATCATCAAAGGTTTGTTGCTTCAATATGAAATTGTAGATTGTCAAGGCAAATCAGTGCATACAATTGTTCCACGATAAAACGCTCGGAACATTTCTTAAAATTTAGCTTTCTACTTTTTATCCCAAAAATTTACCTTGTGTTTGATGGTATATTACACACAGGTAGCAACTAAAAAATTCATTTGTGTGTGCTTACAGTTTCCCGATCAAACTAACCGATGGAACAGTCCTGGCGAAAATGGCGGAGGCTTTTGTGAGAAACGGGCGTTGTTTTGTAGCACGCCATCATGATAGTACGTCACCGTGACCTCATTTAGGCTTCGGTAGAACGTTGCAAAATTACATGAACAGAAAATATTTGCATGGTTGACTAATAAGAATGAGCCGGAAACAAAATAGTTGCAGCGATATTTAATGAAAAAAATTGTATTGAGCTAACCCACTCGATCGATCGCACAATTTTGTTCTCGTTTTCCCCATGATACCTGAACATTATGGATAAATACAAACTGAAAATCACGTCAAACTATCTGTATTAATAGTTCGAATAACGCAATGATAGATGGTTCATTTAGAATGAGTATTATTCCATCACCGTAAAATAAACGCAGAATCTTTCGTGAAATCTGCCATCAAAATTACCGTACTTTTTTTCTTGTATTCGCAATAAATTCACCACATAGGACAATTTTTAAAAAAGTTGTTTTGGCATTTAATTTAGCTTATTTGTCTACATTTCTCGATGTTGGCTACAGCTCAGGAAACCAGCATTTTCTATCTTCCCCTATGTAATTATTTGTTTCGTCAGTCTAACGAGCTGTCGGTGACTTGTGTCATGGGTATCGTGGACCTTTTGAAACTTTCTCCATTTCTATATTTTCTCATGCATTTCTTCTAACTTTGTCGGTCTCGACCGGATCTAGTGGGAATTCGAGGTCTTGTAAACTTGTTGTCAATATTGGTCTCTTGAAGCTTGTGACATTGTCGACCCCTTGGGCTGTCGCTCTAGTGGAACGTCGGTTAAGTATTTCTTTTGTTAATGTTGGTCTCGTGGGCGAGAAGCGGGATGACCTGAACTGACCAAGGCAATCCTGCGCACACCGGTTGCACCCGGCTTTGGCCTTTAGTGAAGGGTTAAAGATGAAGTTGAGTTCTGGTCATGCGATTGCATTGTGAAAGAAACGATGTGGAACCGACCAGAAAAGGTTGATCATCTAGCATATAAGAATTTGTGTGTATTGCAAGGTTCTGGAATCATCAAAATGATAAGAAATTTGGCCAAGTCTTGGTAAAGTTACAAACCCTGTACACAGAAAGATGTATATGGGACTACACGAACACGTGACGTAAAAAGCCGGCCCCCGATTTTTACGATGTTACATACATATTTAGAATATGAAGGCATTTGAAGAGCCATGCTTTTCAGGGAACATGTCTTATCTGATGTACTTCCATACTTGCATAATATAATGATAACGCTCACAAATTATTTTTCACCTCTTCCCAGAACTCAACCTACTCTTTAACGTTAGTCAGTGGTTTCTAAATAACTTACATTACATAGAGTAGGGAATAAAAGGAACAAATGCTTGTTGATAAATAGTTGCATATATTTTACAAACAAAATTTTACTTCCTCCTAGCTTGAAGGAAGGTATTGTTTGAATTTATTTCAATTCCATGTGTATTTCCCCAAGCAACGAATCCGTATTTCGACTGTATGATGTGCTTTAAGAATTCAAATGTTCAGTGGCATATATCCTTTTCTGAGGAGGGGTGTAGGGGGGGGGGGGCTGTGGAGGAGAGAATGATCGTAATCAGACGCGAGATTTCTCGCGCGAACACCTACACAAGCACACACAGCCAAATGATTACGGTCACGCATAGTTTCCAGGCACAATCCACTCTTGGGGTGCATAACGGTGTCTGCACTCTAAGATAAGTTTTCATGCATATACATGTACTTACGCGAACACTGACACACATTATGAATGTTTACATACACTACATTTTTTTTGTAACAGAAACTTTTGCCTGTATTATTCGAATAATGGTAATGACAATACAGTTATAATGATTGTGATGATAAGTAATAAGTAGATCCATGTTCTGATCTACCTATTATCATGTTTGACACTCGCGGAAAATAAAATGTTAAGGTACTTGAGTTAGACTTTATTTGAGATTTGAGATTTTGCAGGGAAAAACAGACTATTTTGGGGGAAAGATCTTAACATTATTTTGGTAGCATTCTAAAGATAGTTTTTCACTAGCTGTATGACCCACCTAATTTAAGTTTGTGACGATTCTCAGCAGCTGATGGATTTCAAGATGTTTTAAATCAGGTAAGAGCTATACATTGTGTTTCAATGTATTATGTTATGTACTGTGTTTTTATTGTGCATTTTATAGAGTCGTGTATATTCCTAACACCAATTAATCTGGACTTAATGTGCTTTTACTTTTCTTTACAGCGAGGGGATATTGATAAAAAGAGAAATCATATATTTAAAAATACTATGTCCCTTTTGCAGCCAACATCAAATTCTGTAGAACTTTGCAGGAATTATGAATATGTCACGTATGGTCTAGCTGTGAAATTTAAACATTAGCAGGGTCCTAATATTCAAAATATGCAAGGAAATCCGTTTACTTGCTAGACTTCACTTTCAGACACTATTGAGTGACTGGCTGGCTTTTTTCATCTTAAGTAATAACATTCATACAATGAGCTGTAAAGGGTACATGATCATTTGTCTACATCAATAACCCACTTCTTGTAATGGCCAAAATTAAACTGATTGAATCTTTGGGCAGCATAAAACGTACGACGATTCGCTACGATGGTCTGACAAATCAGACTATTACTTACTGGCTCTATAGCTCCTAAGTCGATTCAACAACTAATAGTCGTTATTTTCCTATTTAAAGACATTTTCAAGTCCCCCTTTTGTTAGGGAAGTTCTAAATTAGTATTGTCTTTCAATTGCCGTTAGAATTTAGCCTTTTCATTTTTTGGCCTGCAAATAGGACATAGTACCTTTAATATATTTCAGTTTGCCACAGTTTAGGGCTGTAAGTCTAAACATAAAAAAAGTCATCAACTCCTATATTAAGTCTGCCCTTCCCCTTTTTTAATCGTCGGATTTTGTTGTGTGGGCGGGGGGGGGGGGGGGGGGAGGGGGCTAAGCATATGGAAACGTTGTATCATCCGCTCAATCTGACTTGCGTGCATAGAACAAATAAGCATTTTTCCATGAAAAAGTGAAGTTTTCTAAAATGTGCGTTTCTTTCAAACATTGGGGCGCCCGGAAGTCACTCGGGTAACATTTCATAAAGTATAATATAAAAAGACCATATGAAAATTGTCTGTACTTTTGTCGGAAAAAATACATTTATCCAGCACAATGTCGTCTCTTTTTGCGTTGGAGAAGAGTAAATAGCGAGTTTCAATCACACTTTGGCCGCATTCGCAAGCTCTCACTCGTTTCACTGTGGTCAAGCGACTTTGGGGCAGGCGGTTAATGAAAATACTAATCGTTAGCTTTCTTCTGGTATTAAACTTGTTTTGATTGATTGTATAATTATGTTGGAATAAAGAAAACAAAAAGGTTTGTCTAATAACTAATCAGCGTCTGAATTGACCTTTTGACCTTGAATTCCCTGATGCAAGCGCACTAATGTCGTCATCTTCGCTAAATCGTTGTCTTTTATCGTAAAATGCTACACTTTCACAATGTTTATACATCTTTTTTTAATTATTAGTAGGATATAACATATTTTGTCTGATATCATTGCAGTTTGGGGTTTTATTTAATGAGTAATTTTAAAGCAAGAGCCATTTTACTGTTTTAATTTACTGGATCGTACCATTAAAGCCGCAGGGTAGAAAGATGCATTTTCCAACAGCGTCAATTTAATTTACGTTCTGACATTCTCTTAAATGGGCTTGTGTTGTTAAGAATCCACTGCTTTCTGGTCCACCAAACGTCCACATGCATGGTCGTTTATCAACTAAACTATTCACATGTATGGATGCTTCCTTCCCAGGTGTTTGTGTTGTTGAAGCATTTCATTCACCTGCTATCTTTCTTTGTACTCCAATTGCCAGAACGCAAATTAAATTTTGGTTTTATAGTTTTATCGGAGTCGTTTATCAACTATGTATTCAAATTTATGAATGCTTCCTCCCCAGGTGTTTGTGGTGTTTATGCATTTCATTCACCTGTCATTATTGTTTGTACTCCAATTGTTAGAATACAAAATGCATATTGGTTTTATAGTTTCAAGTAAAAAAAAAAAATGTTCTGCACAATAAAAAAAAATGTCTCCCTATTGTACAATGTAATGTGTCCCCTCATTTTGTAATACTTAATTTACCCATTCAAATAATGGAACTACCTGCCCTCAACACCGTGTGGGAGTCAGTTTGCGGTTAACTTCTTTTATGAGACAAATACAAGCAAACGTTTCCATATGAGTAGGTGTTTTCTGGTCCCTGGATCAGCCACCGGTGTATGTCTAGTATTCATGTATAACGATAAAGAGATTTATTATTCTCAACCCACTTTTCTACTCGCCCCACAAAAGGTCCCCTTGGTTAAAGTCCATA